AGGTACCAACAGACCTTGGTAAAAACGCCGAGAATTTTTTTTCAGTGTACGGCGTTTTTCCCTAGCACGGCAGTGTAGGTTAGTTAGATGGGGCCCCCATCCAGAGGAAGGGGCCCTGAAAACGTTATCAGCACCTCAAGAATTGTTGAGCTAGACCGACACTGTTTTTAGGCAGCGCTTGGTGCGCCTCATGGCCGGATTAAGGGGATGGCCACATGGGCCTGGGCCCATGGCGGCAAAATGTAGGGGGCGGCAAATTTTGCAATATTTTTGAATGTACATATCAAAGAAAAGAAAAAAAAATCGGATTTAGAAAATAAATTTCAAACGAGAAAAGGCGACAAAATCTCTCATTTTCTGAGAGTAAGAGTATATTAAGCATCTAATGTTGTCGTATTTCGGTGATACAAAAGACAAAACCTTTAATTAGTCGAGTTAAGAGAGAAACCAAACACGCAATTTGATCTTGAGCGGGATCGGCGCAGAGAGCAATGATGACGAGGACTGAGATGAAAAGGAGAAGCCTTCGCTTCGGCGCGGCGGTTGGCATGAAGCACATAGCGCCTACAAGACTGCATGAATACTTCACACATTGCGTCAAACACACTGCAGTCAGCAGCAGTCGGCGTGAAACGCATAGCGCCTACAAAAATTCATGAATACTTCACGCATTGCGCCAAACACAGGGCGGTCGGCGCAGCGGCAGAAGTTAAAATTATTCAACCGCATTTATGTATGTTCTTTCATAATTTTTTCGTTCGTTTGTTATGAATGGAAGGCCTTGTCCAAACAGGGATGGGTTTACGGAGCTTAACTTTCGCGTAAAGTTCCGTGAACTTTTGTTAGTGTTGACAGGGCTGTCACAAAAAATGTGCACAACACGAGTGAACGCGTCTCATACACCCCTCCCCCACCGGCACGTTCACTTAACGAATTAGAAGGGCGCGGAAAAATACAGGCGGCCCATGGGCGGCAAGTAGGTAAATCCGGCCCTGGTGCGCCTAAGCAAAAACCTTGTTTGTTTTTAACATTCCTCGAAAATGATGGTGTCATAAGTTCCTGAAGAGTGCTTAAAGGGTCCTTGAAAATAACTTAGAAAATCCTTGATTTTGCCGAATATAACTCTTTGATAGTCCTTGATTTTAGTTCAAAAGCTGTCATGAACCCTGAAGGAGTAGCTCCTAACTTACAAGTCATGAATGAACGAAGTTGCCCGTTTCTATTTTTACTCCTTCTCGAATCCATCCGATTTGACATTCCGCAGTGTTATGTAAGCTTTGAACTGATACGCATTCTACCCAGCAGAAATCGTAAATTGGAGAGAGCAATCTACTAGAAAGAGAAATGCACTCCCATTTGAAATATTTCAATCAGATTAATTCCATGACCTCATCTTCGTGATGAGAGCCTCTTAACAACAGAATTGCGCTCTCAAAATTGGAGAAAAGTGAAGAGTAGCTGAAAAAATGGAACCATTTGATGCGATATATCGCATGCCGTTCTGACACAAAATAAGGCGTCCATCGAATCCCCTTAAAAGCTGACTAAAGAAGTTGTTAATTTTCTTTCTTCTTCTTCTTCTTCTTCTTTTATGATGAAAAAACTTTTTCTGCGCCAATAGCAGCAAAAAAGTAACAGTTGAGGATAGTCATGGAATCAGGAAATGAAGACATTTTTATAGAGACCTTAATCATGAGGACATACTGAACAAATTGTACGCAAAATTCAATTCATGCTTTATCTATCACTAATGACTACCCACGTAGTATTTGGCCTCTCGATCATTTATGTGCGAATTTCTTCAAATGAAATATAACAGCTTAATCTAGGGAGAGGCTGCACAAGAAAACAAAAGAGAAATCAAGAAAACCTAGAACGTGTCAACGTGTAGTTTTTTTCAAATGTATCCAATGTAAGTGTGCAGTTAATAGACAATTACATTTTTTCGGCCAATGACCCGTACCAAAGAGCAGCTGAAAACTCACTTTGATTCCAATAATTCACTGTAGCTGCTTTTGTTTATCGGGGGAAAAAATTATCAATTCCCGATCAACGGAATATTAAATGAGGACGCCCAGAGAGGCAGAGGCAATCGATTGGTTATGGTGCCAGGTCAGTTTTTGAATGGTCAATTAAAAGTGTAATGATGATGCGCTGCTGAGCGTCGGAGAATTGGCGCGAAAAAAGTTTATTGCCTCACATAACAGTGATTAACGAGCTGAGTTCGCCGTATTTTCTGTCATCTGGGACTCATATGGGAAATTTCAGAAACTTAGGTGGAAAAATAGCGAAAATGTGCCCCATTGTGATGCAATAAAGCACCAGTAAAAGATCGCCAAGAAGTCTGTTTTGCCAACGTAAAGTTTTTCAAGGAAAAATTAACCTGGTAGCGAGATTGAAATCAAATGAACAGATCCTACATGGTGTTTTTTGAGTTTGTTCGTGATTTGACCCACGAACAAACCTTTTTTAACTTCTTGGTCGCGTATCTTTCTTCCTTTCCTTGAAATTGTCATTCGGTTTTGAACATCGATTATGACCTCCGAAGGCTCAGGTAATTAGTAATCCCGGTACGAATTAAAAACTCCAATTTTTGTGTTAGATTCTCATTCGTGCCTTAATTTCGCGTTTTAAAATTTCATGAAATACTTGAAATTCCATCTCCCGTTACTTATCTCTGGTTGCAACCAGGGCCGGATTTACCTACTTGCCGCCCATGAGCCGCCTGTATTTTGCCGCCCCCTTCTCATTCGTTTTGAAACATCAATAGAAACCATCAAGTGAGCGTGCCGGAGGGGAAGGGGTGCATTAGACACGTTTACCCACTCGTGTCGGATACATTTTTTGCAAAGGCCCTGTCAACACTACTAGCAAAATTTCACGGAACTTTGCGCGAAAGTTAAGTTCCGTAAACTTATCTCTATGTGGACAAGGTCCTCCATTTATAAGAAATGAACCAAAAAATTATGAAAGAACGAACATGGTTTAATAATTTTAACTTCCGCCGCTGCGCCGCGCTGATCGCACTGTGATTGGCGCAATGCGTGAAGTTTTCCTGCAGTCTTGTAGGCGCTATACGTTTCACGCCAACCGCTGCTGACCGCACTGTGTTTGGCGCAATGGGTGAAGTATTCATGCAGTCTTGTAGGCGCTAATATGTGTTCCATGCCGATCGCCGCGCCGAGGGCTTGTCTTTTTCATCTCAAGTCCTCGTCATCATTCCTCTCTGCGTTGAGCTTCAGGCCAAATTGCGTGTTTAGTTCCTCTCTTCACTTTTCTAATTAAATATGCTATTTCTTGTATCACCGAAAAACGACAAAATTAGAAATTACTATCCTCTCAGGAAAGAGCGATTTCGTCAATTTTTCCCATGGATCATTTTTATAATGAGTCCGATTTTTTTACATCTAAATTTAAAAAAATTGCAAAATTTGCCGCCCCCTAAATTTGCCGCCATGGGCCGTAGCCCATGTGGCCACCCCCTTAATCCGGCCCTGGTTGCAGGTACCCAGAGTGCATCTCATTTTAACTGGAAGGGGGGAGGGGGGCCGTAAGAAGAGGTGATAGAACCGAGTCTAAACGAGAGAGATTATACTTGTGTACGCACATTAGTAGCACCTGACGGCGCTTATCATTTACTTTTCCTCTCTCCTTTCTACCCGAGCACGGCGCGGCGGCCAGAGATGCTAAATGAAATTTCACAAAATTTCATGTTTCTCCAAAGTGAAATTTCTTATTCCATAAAATTGCAATGATTTTCAGGGGCTGCGCATGCGCCTCGTAACGATTCGCCGTTCCCCGGACGACGTTCAACGCACGTTGGCTAAAAAATTACAACTTATTGTTTTACGACTTTAGCGTCTTACCGCAATCAGTTTTTGACGAAAAATTCCTTGAAATTTCTTGTTTAACAATAAGTACAAAGTTAGATGAAATTTTGCGTCTCCGTGCATGACCCTGCAAGGCCGGCAGTGACTTTTCCAACCCAAACTCGCGTCATGTAAGTCTCTTTTCCACTTTCTTCTCGGTCCTATTTCAGCCACCATAAAAAATTACAACTTACTCTGCCGTGCTGAGGAAGAATGCCGTATGAGCATTCAAGAGTTTCCACATTTCCTTCGATAAAATATTTATTTTTGATGAAAATTTTGAATATTTTTCCTTAAAAATTTTCAGAAGTTTTAGAACAAATTACAAACAAAATTATCTGAGAAGCTGGTAAAGAAATATTCAAAAATTTTCCTGAAAATTAGTGATTTGCCAGTGGAAATTTGGCAACGCCTGAAGGCTCATACGGCGTTTTTTCTTAGCACGGCAGTACTGTTTTACGACTTGTACGCAAGTACGAAGTTAGATGTAATTTTGCGTCTCCGTGCATGACCCTGCACGGGCGGCAATGGCTTTTCCAACCCAAACTCGCTTCATGTAATCCTCTTTTCCACTTTCTTCACGGTCTTATTTTAGCCACACTGGTAAAAAAAAACCTCTTGGCTCGAGAGTGCAGTTTTTTGTCGCCGGATTTAAGAGTCTGGACTCTTGTTTCAATGCAAAACCCGCTTGAAACAAGAGTTCAAGACTCTCAAATCCGGCGACAAGAAATTGCACTTTTAAGTCAATGCACCTCGGTATTGGTCCAAGAGGTTTTTCTTTACCAGTGCACCATAAAAAATTTCAACTTACTGTTTTACGACTTGTACGTCTTACCGCAATCAGTTTTAACGAATAATTCCTTGAAATTTCTTTTTTAAATACAAATTTAGATGAAATTTTGCGTCTCCGTGCATGACCCTGCACAGCCGGCAATGACTTTTCCAACCCAAACTCGCGTCGTGTAATAACCCTCCTTTCCACTTTCTTCTCGGTCTTACTTCAGCCACGGCGACGCGACGGTGGGTGCACCTTCCGCGTGGCGTGGCGTCGTGGCGCCCCCCGCGCGGCAGCAGCGTCGCGGCGCCGCTCCGTCCCGGCGGCGTCGCTCGGTGCATCAGTGCGCTTTTGACCGCTTCTCCGCGCGGACCGGACCCTGTCGCCTTCCTCCCTCTCTCTTCGGTCTCGTCATTTCGTCTCGTCAGTCGTTACGCTGCGTTCCTGGTCAGTGCTCGTGGACCTCTTAGCGCGTAATCTCCGGCTCCCCGTGCGCCGCTCGCGTGCCGCCACTTTCTCTTCCCGCGTCAACAACAGGTGCGACCCGACCGCCGAGCCCGCCGCGCGCTTTGCCAAAAATCCACCATGCTCACGTAACCGCGACCCGTCGTCACCGCCCCTGTCCGCGCTTTTTAGCACCTCCGGGTGCAATCTCCCAGAGTTTCGTCCTTTTTCGGGTGCCTGTGTCGGGGTATCGATTTTTGAACCCGTGACTTGTGTATCGGCTTTGATTTTTCGGGTTATCTTCGTGATTGCTGTCTGTGTCTGTCGATTGTGATTTTGTGTGTGTGACTGGGATCGAGCCAAGGCGGATTTAGGTAATGATTTTTCATGATTTTTTTGTGGTTTTGGCTTTCTTTGTACACCAAAAAGCGTAGACGGATCTGGACATTTGAAACGAGGGGTCGGGAGCAGGATGGCAAAATCTCGTGAAAAATGAAATCTTGAAATTTCACGTGAAATATTTCGTGAAATTTCACAAATTTTTGAACGATATTGAAGAATACCGGTTCCCTCTATGTAAAGATTGTGACTTTCTTCTATTTTTGTGTGTTTAAGTGCGGGTTGCATACTCTAGCCCCTGAAAAATATGGAATATTTCACCACCTCGTGAAATTTCATGAAATTTTTCACTGAAATTCCCAGTCCTTCATTTTATTCTTACGTTTCATGCCACCCTGAGCGGGAGGGAGATCCGGAAGGTTTTTCCTGGAAAATTTCCGACTTTTCCAAACACCCAATTTGCAGTTTGAGTCAATTTCGTCAAGAATAATTACCAAATAAAAGCGTATTTCCTTCTTCTTTCCTCCGCTCCTTTCCCTCTTTCCTTCTTTCCTTTTTAAAGTCAGTGACACCTGGCCGAGTTTAGGCAATTATTGAACGAAGTAGTCGCAATTTGTTTCAGAATAATTTAGGAAACGTTTCGATGCCCAACGAAAGACTTTTACTCTCCAAAAAATGTTATACTGTGACTTGTTGCGTAAAACCGAAATATGGCGGCGTTTAAGTCCACTATCACGATTGCGTGTGAAAGGAGGAACATTTCACCATCTCCAAGAATATTTTTCCCCGTTCCAACACTTCATTTTTTTAGTGGATTCGAGAGTGAAAGGAATCTGAGAGTTGCAAAGACTGACAGCAACTGTTCGAAGAGCTCCAGATTCTAGCCTTATTTCACCCCTTAACCCTGAGAGATAACTATTTGAACGCGGCTGTCGTGAAATTGCATATACGATATTTTGAAGGCGATTGTCTCGTTCACTCGTTAAAAGTCTCTTCCTAAGCGGGACAGTTCGGTTCCTCCGTTTTTCAACACGCCTTGCCAGCACTGATTGGTGCTTACTAGGACCACTGGAGTATAACGTACTGGGCTCATGAGATACATGTTGAATTACGGAGGCTGCGCCCCTTGATCGCTACGCGGTCCCAACCCATAACGTGACACGGGGGTTGCACGTAGATGCTCGTTGGTCGTCGTTGACCGGCCTTGCGAATATTTTTGCGCTTTGCCCGTGGCACCGACAATCATTTCATCATCCTCCTTTTTCACCCCAACTTATGCGTGTTTGATTGACCGGCATGTTTGTATGTATGTTAGAGCGCGCGCGCGTGCGTACACAAACATGGCGACCACACTCGTGTATTTTTTTATTTATTTCATTTTATTTTATTTTATTTTTTTTTTTTTGAGGAAGGGAGGTATTAAAGTTAGCCTCACTCACAATCAGTCTGGCTCAAGGAAATGGACCCTCGGCTCCTTGAACCGTAATGTCTACGAACATGTCGGCCTCATGAACCGAAAATTCCTCACTAAATCTGATGGTTTGGTTTAACGTACCTACTGATCATATAGGGTTTTTTTTTTTTTTTTTTTTTTTTTTTTTTTTTTTTTTTTTTTTTTGCCAATTTGCTGGATCCGCCAATGGTTCAATTCCGGCTTTAACGGTGTACAATTCCGGCACTGCTCACGGTTTGCGAATGCAAAGCTGTAGTTTTCATTCACTCTGGAAAAAATGAACGACGACTCAGCAAAAACGTTTTCGTTTTTGTGGAATAATTTCGTGCTCATTGTCCAACCGCACCTTTTCCCGTGTATTGTAGTGCATGAAAGAAGTCAAGTCTCGTAGGCATGACCTAGATTAAATTGAATCGACCAAGTCCGTCCCGATTCTTGGTTTTCGAGTTCCTGGTTGGATGATAACAATGCGACTACAAACTGCGTTGATTGATATTCAAATAGAAAATGAAATCAAACAAATGCTGCAAACTTCTCACCTGCTGCTTTCGCAGAAATGTTGAGTCTGAACAGTTCTTGGAGATACGATGAATGGATGGTTTTACACTGAAAAAAAAATCTCGGTGTATTTACTAAGAAAAGGGTAAAATTACCAAGAATTCAGGGTTCTATTTGATCCCAGTTTTTTCTTGGTAAAATTACCATTATGGAATTGGTGATTTTACCGAGAAATCTCGGTAACTAGACCTTGGCAAAAACGCCAATATTTTTTATGGACTGTGGTAGAATTACCGAGATAAAATGGCAAAGTTACCGGGAATTGATCACCAATAAAAGTGGTATTCTTACCTGAAAAAAACAGTAAAAATACCGGTTTTTAGGTAAGCTTACCAGTCTGTCTTGGTAAAATTACCAATAATTGGTAAAAAAAAGTGAGATGGTAAAGGTACCGCAACGGACCGTGGTAAAAACGCCGAGAACTTTTTCTCAGTGTAACCAGAATCAGCCTAACTACATTAGAAGTCGCCTAATTTTCTCTCGTTTTTTTAATTTTTTTAAACAGAAACCTAAGTATCATTTTGTATGTACTTAGTTTTCGGCTAGTCGGTCTCGAAGACGTTTTGAACTTGAAATTTCCGTACAACTAAGTGGGGAGAATTTTTGGAGGGTCTATTGCTCTTTCGCCACAGGAGGCGCGCAAAGTGTCGCTTGCATAAAAAACGGACCGCATCCTGAGGTCACTGCCAATCAGATTTGACGCAATTCTCGATCAGCATTGACCTCAGTCCAGATCAGGACTAAGGCCAGTAGGTCCTGCATGCGGAATTTTAACTTTGAGGTCATTGTTAATTCGGCATTAATCCACAGGTGTGCACAGACTGTTTAAGCACGTAAGCTCTGGTGTGAAAAAATAAAAAAAAAATGTTGAAGAAACAAATAAAAGATACTTCCAATCTCCCTTTTTTTAATTGACACTTACTTTCATTTGGACGAATTTATGCCAGAAGGAACTATGTGCATAGGGTTTAAGCGCAACATAGTTCCTTTTAGCATAAACAAGTTCATTTTATCTTTCGAGGAATCTATATCACCATTTCTAGCTCATCCTTTAAAACAGATGCCCAGCATAAAGAAACAAATAGAACGTATCGATGGCTAAAGTGCGAAACCACCTACCTCCATTGTGGTGTTTCGAACTTTCCGCTCCTATTTTCGAAAAAGAAACAAGCCAACTGCATAGCTTGAAATGATTTAGATAGAATATTTTGCTATCGGCGAAGAAAAATCAAAGAAACGTAAAGACATCACGTCGATTTGTCTTCCATGTAAAAAAATAAGTAGGTATGACGTCAAGTCTGCAACGTCGCAAACGTAGACACGTGGTTTTGCACTCTAGCTATCCATATGTTGTTTCTAAAATGTGCCAAAAATACTGTTTCCTCATCGCAAAATGTATAATATATCATTATTATATCATTATTTTTAGTGGCACCCTGGTAGTCTCAATGATAATTGAACAATAACAAATTGAACCTTCAAAAATTCTGAATTCTACACTGCTCAGTAGTGCTGATCGGCAGTTAAATGACTTTCTTTATTTTTTCCGGTGGTCGAACAGTCCGAAAAAAAACCAGACTCGGCCAGTGAAATCTGAAACGAGTCCACTTTCACGATGCCTCACACGCGCGCGTCACAGGTTTAGAATTTGTGTGAAACCTGTTATTTTCCGCGGCTCCTTCGCGTAATTGTTGGGTGATCGGGTGATGGGTTATTCGAGTAGTATCTATAAATAAAAATATTTCGAACTCCGTATGTGTCCGAATCACTTTCCTCGAAGTTCTAAAATAAACTACAGCTTCGCGGATTATACTTGCACTCGAAGAGGATTGTCCAAAGGGTTCTTATCACGTGCTAGCGTGAAAATTTTCCGATGCAGAGATGAATGAAATGACCGATTTACTCGTGACCTACAAGGCGGGTGCGGTGTCCTCTCCAAGGTCCCGACGGGCCGGCGTATCCAGTAGCGTGGCGTGAATTGCGATATATCGATTTTTATGCCATTTAAACCTATGGTAAAGAATCGATTATTAAGGTGTTCGCTGCAAACACCCAGTTTATCGATCCTTTTCTATACGTTTAAATGACATAACAATCGATATATCGCAATTCACGCCACGCCACTGGGCGTATCGATTGTTGAATCGGCATCGAATCGATAAATAGCATTGCTAACGTACGGAGTATCGATCGAGGTCATTCGATAATCGACCACTAGGTCGATTACGTCAGACGACGCATCAGACTTTTGTTTTTTTGATAATTCGTGGATTCGCGCTCCAATCTAATCAGTGAAATGAGGACCCACAGTGAAATTTAAATTAATGCAGGTCAGTTGCGCTAATCTTTGACTCGTATTTGGAACGCATGAACTTATTGATTTGGAAAAAAAAACGGTATATGATTCGTTTGGACTAGTATTTTAATCTCATTGGTCACCATGCTCCAAATGTGAGTAAAAATTAGACTTTGACGCCTAAAATTTCAGAGTGCTGCGTCAAAGTGTCGAGTAAAAGTGGAGGGAGCCTTATTAGCTGTATCGCCCTTGCTCCTTGCATAGGGTGCCGAGTCCTTGAAAAGTTGTGAAAACTTGATCAGTTCAGGAATTTTGCCCGATCCTGAAAAATCAGAGATTGATCAAGGAATTTCGCTGCGGAACTCTGAAATTTATCACCCCACCCAGAACACAGTATTTTTTTTAATTTAAAAAAAAAAAATCTGCGCATCAATTTTTTTGTGAACCTTTTTTTTATGAGAATTCATTCCCTAAAATTATTGGAAAGTCAGGGAATTCGACGTTTTAAAACAATGAAAAGTCAGGGTAGTACAATTGGATTGCATTTTGCAAAAAGGAACCAAGAGTATTCCAAATGTTGCTAAGTTTGTGCAACTTACATTCTCTGCAATAAAATACTAAAATCATGCAACAAATTAAATCAACAATTAAATTAGAAATTTTCGTCTTGAATTTACAGTTTATAGGGAGTACAAATTAAACTTGTTTCAATTATATTGCAAATTAAA